CCGGGGACAGGGCGCCCGGCCCGCGGAGGGCGCGCAGGGCTGCCCGGGGCCGGCGGGCTGGCGGGGCCGCTCGGGGCCGGCTCGCGGAAGGGCTGTTTTTAATTAAAAGCCGGAATTCAGCCATCTTAGCTGCAGTCGAGAGGGGGAGAGCGGCGCAGGGCGGCCTCCCGCACGGCCACGCCAGCCCCTCGGCCGTGGCCAGGGCCGCTCCGAGCGCAGGGCTGCGCCCCGACTTCCCCGAAGTGGGGCGCCTGGGCACTGCCTTCTCGCAGACGCAGCCTTTAGCCAACATGATCCTCTGAGTCCGCGCGGGTCGCTCCTCGCGCCTCTGAGGGACACGCACCCCGGGCTGTGACGACCCTAGATTTTTTCAAAAGTAAACGCGCATCTGGTAACCGGAGCCCGAGGAGAGCGAGGGAGGAAGAGGGGGCGTTCGGAGGCAAAGCCGCCTTAGAACAGGCGTCCCCGGCAAAGTTGGGGGAGAGGACTTTGGGGTCCGGGCGCAGGGCGGCCACCGGGAGCCAGGGGCTGCGGCTCGGTCCCGGCTGTGCCGGAGCGCCCCGGGCCTCCGGAATCAGGACCCGGCGCTGCCCGGGGCTGGAGCAGGGTCGGCCAGGGCAGGGTGGGCGCTCCCAGACCTCCCCTGCCTCCCCTGCCTCCCCCGGGAACGGGGAAAGGGCAGATCTTTTAAACAAACAGCTTAAACTGGAATTACAGGGGGCTTTACCCGAGGCTGGGGAGGCGCCCCTCGGCTGGCCCGCGCTGTTACCGTTTCCCTTTGTGGGTTATTTTGGGGGCGTGTGTGGGTCGCAGAGCTAGGGTAGAAGCAAGCTCTTCGGAGCCCCCTTCTTTCTTCTCCGATGATCCCCAAAGCCTCCACACCAGGCCACGTCCTCCGGCCTCGGGATTCCCAGGCCCGGGCGTTGGAAAATGAAACCAAGTCTTGTTTTGAAGGAGTCTTTTTCCAGTCCGCGGGCGAAAGTGCCACGTCCTGGGGACTCGGCTTCTGAGACTCCGGAGCGGCCCAACGGGGGGCAGCAGGAGGGGGGGCGGCGGCGATCCCCCTTTAAAAATAAACCCGTTTTCCCTCTGACCTTGGAAAACGACCACGAAAAGCCCGCAAACCGAACACTCCTTCTATTAATTTTGGCGGCCCACAAGGAGGTTCCAAACTCGGGGCGGAGAGGAAAAGGGAGACGAAAGGGCCCCCCGAAAGGTTAAACATTAAACTTCGCGGATCAGATAGCGGCACGGCGTTATGGACACATTTCGACCCAACTCGTTTTAAGTTAACGCTGGCCGTTTTAAGGCTCCGGAGCATGTGACGCCTGGGGAAGACGGCCCTCCTCAGTTAGGTCGAGCCGCTCGGGCGCGGCCGGCGGGGCGGCCTTCCCGGGTCCGGAGGGCTTGGCGGGCGGGAGTCGGGCCCGGGACGCGGCGAGCCGGGTCCCCCGGAGCTCCGGGACACTGCCAGGACGGGGGGCGGCTGCGCCCCGCTTTATTTCTGGCCACCGGTTCGGTTTGCAGCGCTGCTCCGAGCCTGAGGGGCGAGGCGACTTTCTGAAACTTGTTTTTTCTCTCTTTCTCTCGCCCTACCCTCCGTCCCCCCCCTTTTCCCTCTCCTGCCTCTCCCTCGGCCCGTCTTCCCCGGAGCAGACGCCGAGCGCGCCTCCTTCCGCAGCAACGCCCGGCCGCCCGGAGGGGACCCGCCGAGCGCCGCCGTCCGTGCGCCCCGGGCCGCGGGCCCGAGGCTGAGCGCCAGCCCCTCCGGCCGCCGCGATGCCCGCCGCGGAGCGCCCGCCGCCCGAGGACCCCAGGACTCCCCCGAACTCTGACTAAGGCCCCGTGAAGCGGGCCGGCGGCCCGGGCGGGGAGGCTGACCGCGGCACCCCCGCGGAGGATGGATGGCCGAGACTTCGGGCCCCAGCGGTCCGTCCACGGCCCCCCGCCGCTGCTGTCCGGCCTGGCCATGGACGGCCACCGCGTGGGCGCGGCCACCGCCGGACGCCTGCCTGCCTCGGCCCTGCCGGGGCCCCTGCCGCCCGGGAAGTACATGGCCGGTCTCAACCTCCACCCGCACCCGGGTAAGTGTCGCGTCCCGCGCCGACGGGAGCCCGGGGTGGCAGCCGGAGGGAGGTGGACCTCCGAGGCTGGAGCCGGGCGGCTCTCTGTCCCGTTTCGCCGGGTTAGTGTGCGGCTCCCGGCTCACCGGCTTCCCGGTGTCTCCGGGAAGGCTCGCTCCCTGTCCCCTGGTGTGCCTGCCAGGCGGTCCCAGTCCTCCCGAGGCTCTGCTCTCACAGCCACCCTGGGGGATCCCGGCCCGAGGGCTCTTGGGGAAGTGGAGTTTGCAAAATAAATACAAATAAATGAACGCAGGCGCGGAAATAACGTGCTCGCTCCACACCCCGGGAGACATCCTCTCCCGGATGGATCCTAGAGCGTTTTCTTGGCACGCTCCCTCGGTGGCACGGGTGGGTTCCGTGCCCGTGTGTAGCCGCGTCTCCGGAGGGTCTGCAACTCCGAGGGTGGGTTGGGAGAACGGAGGAGAATGCCGACCCGGCCTTGGGGAGCCTGGTCTGCCGTGAACCCTGCCCAGTCTGGATATCTGGAAGAGACGGGCTGTGCCAGCCCGCAGCCAGCCCGGCCGAGCGCGGCTCGCTCTGGGAACCCCGCGGTGGCGCGCCGGAGGCGGCGGCCGAGGAGGCCCAGCCCCTCAGCCTCTCCCCGGGCTGCGCTGGGCAGGAGCGGACGGCCAGGGAGGCCGAGCCGGCCCGGCCACCGCGCGCCGCGGAGCGGGAGCCCGGGCCCTGCAGACCTGCCTGGCGGCGGCTGGCTCACCGCTCCCTCCTCCCCGGCCGCTCCTCGCTCTGTGCTTGGCTGAACGAAAACACCCCAGCTCTCCTTTAAAAAGCGCCCTGTCGGTCTCCCGGGGAGCCCGCGCCCCCGTCCTTGGAACAAGTCTCCGTACGACAGTCTGGGGGCCCAGAGCCCCGGCTTTGGTTTCTCCCCCTGCCCGCCAGGGTGACCACAGCTCGGCGACGTAGCCTCTGCCTTTGATTTTTTTTTTTTCTTTCTTTCTTTCCTCCTGGAACTTTCCTAGAATCGGGAGTCCAGGACTCAGCGGGACAAAGGGCCTTTGTGAGGCGCCTGGCGGGGGAGGGGCGAGTGGAGATCCCTGCCGGCGGGACCCCGGGGATCCGGGTCATCTCCCCCCTGCCTCCCCTTGCGCGTGTGCCCCCTGGGAGCGGAGGCGCGGCAGCTCCGGGGTGGTGGTGGTGGTGGTGGTGGTGACGGTGACCAGACCGGATTCCTACGGGACTGGTGCCCGGTGGATCATCGAGAGAGAATTCCCAAGGCCAAATTTGGGGACGGTCTTGGGGATACAAAGGGCCAACCCCTCTTGAGAGGGACTTTGTGGGTTCAGGGGTGCGTTCATTTGTGGACTTCTGGGGTGTCTGGGTTGGTCTGGCTGGAAGTGTGGCCTGGGAAGCTGACCCGAGGGTGTTCCTGCCTGGCCGAATCTCAGCTTGTCGCCTGCTCCAGGTCTGCCTGGGATCTGGCCAGGCCTGGCTGAGAGCAGCCGGCCCTGGCCGCTCCTTGCCGGCGCCCTTCTGAGTGTGGAGCCCTTCCCAACCCTGGTGGCATAGCCTCGGCAGACTGCCCTGAGCCTGAGCCTACCCCCCCCCCCCTGCCGGGAAGGGTGGCCGAGCCACAGACTGGGAAGTCCAGCTGGGAGCAGCCTTGGAATCCCGTGTCGTGGCCTCTGCTTGGAGCTGTATGGCTTGTACAGAGGGCGGCCGGAGGGCCTGGAGGAAATGGAGGGAAGGCCACCGCAGTCCCCCTGAGGACCTGCTTACCAGAGAGGGAAGAGTGGGGGCCTCGCAGCTCTATCACTTCCTGCTGCTCCCATCTGTCCTTGCCTCCAGATGGGACAGAGAGACCGGACCCCAGGCCAATGCCCGGAGCTGAAGCTGTACTTAATCCCATTAACCGCGATATGGGACTGCACCCCATTCAAGCCCTAGGGCTGGCGGGATGGAGATGCAGCGCGCCCCTCCCCCACCCCGCCTTCTTTGTGGGGTGCAGGTGCTGGGTCTTTGCCCCAAGAGCCACCCTGTGCTCTTGCTGGCTGCCAGCCTTATCAGGCCCATCTTTATTTGTTTACCTTGGTATAAAATGTCAGAGAAGCTGAGCTGTTAGCTGGGGTCACACAGCCTGCGGGAGGCGGGCGTTTGTCCCCCCTGTCCGGTCCCATTGGAGGACATGTGGATGTGCCCTTGACTGCTGGGGTGGAGAGGTCTCTGGGACTTCACTGGGCAGGAGCTTGGCCTGCTGAGCCTGGGGGAGCAGAGCTGTCGGGTGAGGGTCCGCTGGAGGCAAAGCTTGATGCTCTGATGTGGGTTTGGCTAAGGGCTTTAGTCTCTTTCTTAGGCGAAATAAAAAAAAAAAAAAGAATGGGGTGCCAGTTACAGAGGCTCACACCTACTGAGCACTCAGAGAGGCAGGGGCCAGCCTACACTAGACACTGTTTCTTGAAAACACACACACACACACTACACGCAGCAGTTTAGAGAGAAACAAGGGTGGTGGCTTCTTCCTTCTCTCTTTACTGTACGCCTGCTGTAGTTTAAGCAGTTACTGTTTGCAGCCAGCCTGTCAGTGAGATTGCCCAGTGGGCTAGACTCTTAAATTGTTGGAGTTGGGAGTCCCAGGAAGGGACTACGTCTTTCAGTTAAAGTGCTCTGAGCAAGATCTTGTACCTGGGACTCCTTTTTCCCCCGGACCCACACCCTGGACTGAATGAGGGTGGGGACGAAGGATGTAGACACCGGCGCTTTTGCCCTTTGACCTGCCCCTTGGACAATAGGCAGCCAGCGTGGGCTCCCAATGCTGGAATCCACCCCGTGCTGCTGGGGTTGATTTAGAAAGATTAATCAGTTGGGACTGGCTGGTGGAGACAAGGGATGAGAAGATAAGGGATTTGTTTTTTCTCCTTCAACCCTTCCTTCTCTGGTTAGAAGGCAGCATGGGGAAGGTTCTGGAACCTAGAAGGGCCCCTTGGGTTCTCTGGCTCTTGGAGTGGTCACCTTCTGGGTTTGTTTCATTTTTTATTACATTTTAAATTGTGCGTGCGTGCGTGCATGTGTGTGTGTGTGTGTGTGTGTATGCGTATGTGTGGGAGCGTGAGGTGTGTGTGTGTGCATGTGTGTGTGTGTGCACGTGTGTATGTGTGGGAGCGTGAGGTGTGTGTGTGTGCATGTGTGTGTGTGTGCACGTGTGTATGTGTGGGAGTGTGAGGTGTGTGTGTGCATGTGTGTGTGCGTGCACGTGTGTATGTGTGGGAGTGTGAGGTGTGTGTGTGTGCATGTGTGTGTGTGTGCACGTGTGTATGTGTGGGAGTGTGAGAGGTGTGTGTGCATGTGTGTGTGTGTGCACGTGTGTATGTGTGGGAGTGTGAGGTGTGTGTGTGGTGTGTGCGCTTGCATGTGTGTGTGCATGCACGTTTGTATGTGTGGGAGTGTGAGGTGTGTGTGTGGTGTGTGCGCGTGCATGTGTGTGTGTGTGCACGTGTGTATGTGTGGTGTGTGTGAGGTGTGTGTGTGGTGTGTGTGCGCGTGCATGCATGTGGACACTGGACTGCAGATCAGAGGGCAGCTTGCTGGAGTCTGTTTTCTCCTGCCCCGTGGAGTCCTAGGATGGAACTGAAGTGTGGCTGTGGTCTGCTTTACCCGCCTGGGTCATCTTGTCAGTGGCTTTTGGTTGCTCCGGAGCCTGAGCCTTGCCTTTCCTCCCTTCCTCACTTGCTCATTTGCTTAGCAAATGATTTCCAGGAGCTCCCTGCTCACCAGGCATCGCGCCGGGGCCTGGTACTGTGGCAGGGGAGGAGGCAGACAGGAGAAGGCCTCGAGCCTCCTTGGGGCTCACTTTCCAGTGTGGGAGCCAGGCAATAAACACAGGAATCAGGGGGAGGAAATCATTGTAAGTGGGGACACAGGCCGCCTAGGAAATAAAACGCCCTGGGTCTGGTCTGGCCCGTGGGGTGAAGGGCCGGGTCAGAGGGCTTGACCTCAGTGTCCCCAGAGTGAACTCTTTTGTGTGTCTGGAGAGTAGAAAGTTGACAGAAGGCAGAAGCGGAGAGCTTGGTGAGGTATCGGACAAGAGGTTTGAGAGCCTGGGATCAGGCGGCCCTGGGAGACAGACAGTTCGGGGCGGGGCAGATCTTACCGGGTCCCTGAGGACCAGCAGGGAAGTCTTGGAATTTTAAGCAGCCATTTTACACAACTAGCCTGGACTCTTAAAAAAAAAAAAAACAGTCAGTGGTGTGTAAGGGGAAGGTAGGCAGAGAGCCGCCACTGCCTAAGAGACAACGGAAAAACGGACACGGCTGCAGGCAGCCCTGAGACCGGGGCTTGGTTTAAGGGAGAAATTATGTGAAAGATTGTGGAGGGAGTTGGGGAAATTGGAATATGGGCTGTAGAGGAGCCGATAGGGACGAATCCATAGTTCTTCCGGACTCCAGCCACTGCCTGGGCTGTGTAAAGGCGTTCTCATTTCCTGGGAAGAAGGACCCTGAGTTATCGAGGGGCAGGGGAAGCCATGTCTGCCACAGTCTTGCTGCTGGCTGGGGCAGGTGGGAAAAGGAACGCTTTCAGTTTTGAGCGTTTGTGGGAGACAGCAGGTAACGGTCAGGCGACAAAGTGAGAGGTGTGCTTAGGGCCTCGGAAGGTGGTGGTACGACTCTGTAACTATTTCCAACGTCTCTGCATTGGAAATTCTTCCAAAACAAGGGAGCAGGGGGCTCAGTAGGTAAAGGAGCTTGTCAATAAACCTGAGGACCCGAGTTTGATTCCCTGGGATCCACGTGGTGGAAGGACAAGTGTGGACACACACACACACACACACACACACGAATACATGCTTGTTCATCAGGGAACACACACATACACACACACACACAGGACGGAGAGACCCTGGGTTTTGGTCATGGGAGGAAGATGGGTTGAGGTACCCTCCTACCCTCTTCTGTTTGCTCAAACTCACATTGTGTAGACCAGGCTGGCCTCAATATCAAGATTTAATGCTT